GCTTAGACGGAAAGGAAAATTTTATAAGACGGTGGTGAGACCTGCAATGCTTTTTGGCACTGAATGTTGGCCTTTAAAAGAGAAGCATAATACTAAGTTAGGTGTTGTCGAGATGAGAATGATTAGGTGGATGAGTGGCTTTACACTTAGAGACAAAATGCGAAATGATTATATCCGTGATAGGGTTGGTGTAGCTCCCGTGATGGACAAAATTAGAGAAAGTCGCCTTAGATGTTTTGGTAACGTTAAGCGTCGACCATCTGATGATCCGATTAGGAGAGTAGATGTTTTGGATTCGATTTATGTTAAGAAAGGCAGAGGTAGCCCTAGGAAAACTTGAGTTTATTGTATAAAAAATGATCTTAATCTATTAGAACTAAGTGAAAATATGACACTAAATAGGACGCAATGGAGAAAAAGGATTCATGTAGCCGGACTCCACGTAGTGGGATTAATGCTTTCTTATTGTTGTTGATCACTTAATCACATGAAAACATTTAGAAACAAGTTAACACGATTGAAAAAGAGAACTGAGAGTTAAACTGAATAATATTAAAAAAATATGTGAAATAAGTTAAATCTAATATAGTTGGGTAATTATTTCCTTAAAACTTGCTAGTTCAACAACAAGAGAGACACAAATCTATAGATTCATCCATTTCAACAGAAATAACATGTGTTTTAAATCAAAGTTTGGGAAAAATTTTTAGTTTGTTGTTGAAAAGAATATCAAGCAGTGAGATTTGATTCTTCCCCAGGTTAAGTTTTCATATAACTGGTCCACATATGACATCCAATTTGAGATGCAAAATCCTCTCTCTGTTGGAGTTAGTGTCAATATTTCCAACTACTAAGCTTAGCTTAGATGCAGAGGTTTGAGCAAAGATATTTTTGTCTTACATGAGCAGGTGATGACGGAAATTGTTGAGCAAAATGCTAAATATTAGAAGCAAGCAAAAGGTACAGGAAAGCTAATTCATTAAAAAATGTGACTTGGTGTGTATTAGATTGAACAACGAGAGATTTCATATAGATTCTTTTGGGGAACTCGAGCTGAGGGCTGATGGTCTGTTCAGAATAACCAATATGATTAATGAAAATTCCTACATGATTGATTTGTCAAAAGACTATTTTTTTGCTGCATTTAACTCTGTTGACCTTTCACCTTAATGCTGTGGGTAAATTTTTGTGAATTGTGGAGCGCGTCCTCCGTCCATCAAGAGTGGAACTCTCTAATTCAGAAGTACTGGTCACTTTCTGGATAGGTTTTGCATGCCCTAGCCCCCTTGAGCTTGGTGACCTGGTCATAATTTACCTACTTAGGTTATAGAATTTGGGTTTTTTCTCTTGGAACATTTAAGTATATTGTAAACTTCTATTTGGACAAAATTTTTGGCTTTTGTTTATGCAATTTCGAGATCAAGTTATCTAATTTCAACCTACCGTTATATCATTTTTCTTGTTCAAGTGGTGCACTTGTATCTTGTTTGAGATTAGGTGGTGAATCTCTCTTGGTGTTCGTGCTCACTGACATCAATATTTCACAGCATTACCTGCTCTTTGTCCCCTGGACAGCCGTTTTTCATTACCTTTTAACCTCCAAAAACTTCATTAAACTTCCTCTTCTTACCTTTCTAGAACACCTCATCACTAGATCCGATCCACCAATATCTTTTAGGAACTCTAGAATAGTTGGTGATATTTGAATGTGCACTTGGAGCACCTCATGGATACTCCAGGGGGCATTCTACATAAATTTGAATATGAGTAGAAGGATGTATGATTTCACAAGAAACAAAGTTATATGTTTGAATTTGATACATGCAGTCTTTTCTAAAAAAAATTAATTATTTTTTAAAAATTAAACGTTGCCATTTTTCATTTCCTTAATTTGTGCTCATGTTGAATTATACGCATACTTATTTTTGTGTGAGTAGAGGCTAGCATTGGCATGTGGTCCCAAGCATAAATTGATATTTAGTATGCATTTATGAATTTTTTTTTAAACATGTTTGTTTAGTGCATTTTTTTTTTAAAAATAATGTTAACTTGTTTTTTAAAAATTCTTAAAACACCTAAACGTTTTTTTGAGTATTCTTAAAATCAACAAAACATGTTAAAACATAAATAAAACAAAATAAAAAAAAAATAAAAAAGTGATTTAAAACGACCTTTAAACTTCTCAATTTCATTATTTCTTGAAGTTTTTAATGAGATACAACAATATAGAATGACAAAGCGAAATATTTTATTCACAACAACAACAAATCTTTATCCCACTAAGTGGGCTCGAGTGCATTAATTCTTTTGCTTTAAATACTATTTTCATAAATTTCATTGAATAACTTATTAAAATATCCCACCCACTTATGTTGAATATCTTCCTCAAGGAAAAATACTTCTTGATTTTTATCTTTAATACACTTGAGATACCACCGAGTGTTCTTTTATCTTTTTTTTTTTGTTTGACTAGTTTATACATATACCTTTCACAATCTTTAGTATCTTATCGATTATAAAGAACACTAAAAGTATAATATTTAGCATCACAAATTGTTTTCTTATATGTCTTACAGGTCACCTTATATTTTTCTTAGTTCTCTAAGCTTTTACAATAACTTATTATCTTTTTTTTTAATCTTTTCTTACACATTATTATTCCACCGCTAACTTTTTTTTTATAATTTTTTTTTCTTTTAATTTTGAAGTTACATCTTTTGCCACTTGTTTAATAATGCTAGTTACTTTATCCCATAGACTTTTTTATGAATGCCCCAAAATTTAAAATCTTGAAATTTACTCAGAAAAATAATTTTGTTTGTCTTTTAGGTGCCCGAATCTAATCTTATGACAATGTTTCATTATATTTTTTTTATCTTCCAACTCTTTATTTTAACATAAAAACTAATGATCGATGTTGAGTATTTAAATTTTCGGTTGCAATGACCTTACTCGACTATCTTTTTTTTCATAAGAATTTTGTATTTTCTTAGATTCATTCTTATAAATAATAATATGCTTATCTCTTTTGTAAACTAAATTATTCGCAATAACAAATTCACAAGCTAAAGCAAAATCTATTAGGTTTTATATTCTTCATTAATCACTCTAAAATCGTAGTTACCGTGAAAATTTTTAAAATCTTCTACCACTCTACCAACATATTAGTTTAAATCTTCTCCAATAAAGTTTTTTTCTTCAAGAGATATCATTTGTATTAATTCATTTAGGTCATTCTAAAATTCTTTTGAATCCTTATATAAACCTATTTGAGGAGCATAAACACTTATAACGTTAAAAATCTTAGTATCAACAATAAATTTAGAGCTATAATTTTATCTTCAACTCTATTAATTTTTACAAAATTATGTTTTAAACATGCTATAATTACACCTATACCATCTCTACTGGAACTCCTACTTGAATACCAAATTTTAAAACCTAAGTTATCAATTTGTTTAGCATTTTCATCAACCCATTTAGTTTCTTTAATGCATAAGATATTTTTCTTTCTATAGACCATAATGTCAACTAATTCTAAAAATTTACCTATGAGAGTACCCATATTACAAGATCCTATCATAATATTAATTTTATGGACTAACTTCTCTGACTGCATCCATTCATAATATGTGAATCTTTATTTATTACTGCACTTGAGTGTAGGCGTAGCTAACCTTACACATTTATTACTGTATTTATGTCATCCAACGTGTCACTTCCACTGGACTCTCTAACATTTAAACAATGATTTAAATGATTCATGACATGATATTTTCGACTAAAAAATGTGTTAGCTGTCGACTACCTAATGCATTTCATTTTTTGCTTATGGGGTTTGGGATCCGACAATGACTGTTAATTTTATGCTTGCTGTCGAAATTTTCTTTTAATGAGTAGAAAAAATTTGTAATGTTCTAAAATATGTAAAATATAATGAACGAAGTATGGAGGAGATGGTAGAAAAGTCAAAACTATTACTTTTTTGATTAAGATATATTATGGATTAGGATTTATAGGGTAAATAAAAATGAAGGCTGGAGATTTGGATACTATTCTCTAGTTAGGCATTTAGAGTGAAATTAACAGGTATAGTTTAAAGATGATTAAGTTAAATAAAGTAAATTAGATATAGAGTTATAGCACACTTCATGATGGATGTCTTAAAAAACCCTACAAATGCTACATTGTGAAGAAGAAATTATAGTATTGCAGCAAATGTCTGGAAAAATATAAGGAGCCAACCATAAAAAAGGTTTGAAAAAGAGAACTTCATAACTACGAAAATTTAACAGATTTGAAGAAAAGACAATGGGGGAGAATGATGGGATTATCTAAAGTAATTTGCCATAGTACTTCTTTGCGGTTGATTTTCAAATTTAATCTAATTTCTTGATAGAGAATTGTGAATTGCCTTTAAGGAAGATGAAGCGTATAGGGAGACAAAGGGCTCTCTTACTGGAAGATTTGTCTCGGCTCTTTGAGATTTCCAAGGTTGACTAATAAACAGAAGGACATTTTAGATATCAAAAGAATTTTTAATAGAATATCTGTGCATTGGGCCTTAGTGTTACATCATTGACCTTAGGGACCTAAATGTAATGTTTTTAGAAACACATATCTTGTTGAGGCACAATGCATTCATCAATGACATGCAGGTAATTCGATATGAAATGCTAATATGAAATTATCAAATATATAAATTGTGATGTTCAATATATTTAGTTGTATTAATTTTGAGGACAGTACACAGGTAAAATTTATTTAATATATCTCAAATTTTGAGAGTTGTAGGAGATACCAGAATAGTTTTATTATTGATCATATTTTAAGTTTTCATTCATATGGATCATAAAAAGATTGGCTTAAATGAGAGTAACCATTCTTATGTTTTTGATCACCACAAACTTCCGAGTACTTATGGGCATTCATTTCATCAGCTATTAGATTGCTCATTTTATGAAGTACTCACCTACTTCATCATTTTTGTAAATGTGCAGCTTTTATTATTGAATTGTGATTGGGGCGCCAAGGATATTCTTACAAATGAACATGTTCTGGGATCAGCAAAATGTCAGGTTTGCATGTACTTGTGTGGCTTGTTTCAAGATGAAATTTCAGTTCTCGATATTTATAATTATGTTCTTCTGGTGTTCTTGTTTTAAATTATTTAAATTGAGCCCCCCACCACACACACACACACACATAATAGAAACTCATAAATTCTGAAGATTTTGTTTTAGTACGGTTCCTTTTTTGCTTATTATATTTGTTTTGATGGTCATTTTCATTTGGGAGAGTTGTCATTCTTTCATATTCAAGAAACACTTTGAATATTTAAGCAAACATATCTACTAGTCAGAATGCTATTGAGCAGCCTCTTTTATAGCTGCAAAATGTTTTTCCATTTTTTAGGTGGAAATCTATCTGGAACTTCACCATATTACTACCCTTTATCTCTGCCAAAACTTCCCAGCAACTTGCTAACAACTTTCACCTTGGTTAGATATGCTCCGAATGCACCGTTATATTCCTTCACATAGGTCTTTACGAATCTCTGTTTATCTGCTTATTATACTTTATATTCTTTTCTTCTTTTGCTCATCTACATTTTATTTTGGCGCATGTTACTCTCTTGTCCCGCTCCAGTCACTTTCTTTCAATTGTTGATTTCTCTTTTTTGTTAGCTTCTAGAAAATTAATGTCCTAAGCACAAAAATTATTGCTGGCTATGATGTCTCAGTATAAAGCCTGACATTTATTTCCTCAACTTCCAAAACATTCAATTTCTAATCTGCATTTATTGGTGAGCATGATAAGCCTGTTATTAAAATTCGATGATCTTTTTGATGAAGCAAGATGTAGCATTTTTGGGAAATCTTGTTGGGATGCTTTTCATCTCCTGTGCAGATCGATTGTACTAGTAAGGTGTTACATGTCTGTTTACTGCACTCATCCTAAGTGGTCTAGGATTTTTATTTAATTTCAATTTAATTGGTTCTTATGAAAATTATTATATTATGCATTTACCGGTTAGCAAGTGTGGTTTTTTTGAAATTTAAAAAAACATAGTTTAACATGGCTCCGTACTTGAGAGCTGAAGTGTTATTTTGGCATAAAATGACTATATATTGAAAAACATGTATTGAATGAAAACATAACATTGTTCATCCTTTCGTAATTGTAAAATAAGTTTTTTTTTAAAAAAAAAATTAATTTCATTTACTAGTTCTGTTACTTGCATACGTACAATTTGGAAGAACGGCAGTTCTGCGTTGGCCATTGGAGGGAATAGGTTTCTCATATACAATCAATGGAAAACATTGCCATGTTCAGTTTTCAGGTATTGTAAAAAATATATTTTTGCATTCATTTATTTTCCTTGTTTATTTGTTTATGTAGGTATTAGCAGAGCTTCTGCCGCGTTTAAGCATTGGAGGCCATAGGGTTCTTATTTTCAGTCAATGGACAACAATGCTGGACATACTTGAGTGGGCATTGGAGGTAATAGGAGTCACATACCGACGTCTTGATGGAAGGTAAAGCTTGTTTGCCTGTAGCATTTATATTACTTTAGATCCAAACCAGTTATTTTACTGTTTCATCTTTATGTTTTTAGTACTCAAGTGACCGAGAGGCAGACCATTGTGGACACTTTCAACAATGATCCTTCTATCTTTGCATGTTTGCTTTCCACAAGGGCCGGAGGGCAGGGTCTAAACTTAGTTGGAGCTGATACGGTTATTATACATGACATGGATTTTAACCCCCAAATGGATCGTCAAGCTGAAGATAGGTGTCATCGCATAGGACAAGCTAAGCCCGTTACGATTTACCGGTAATCTGTTAATTACTTTAATTATGCTATGTGTATTTGGAGAAATATGAGCTAGAATATAATGTTGGTTAGGAATTCCTGAGGAAGCCACTCCAACCAAGTACTTTTTGCCTTCATCAATCTTTCTTAATTTGTGGTAGTTGTCATTTTATGCTTAATGCATTGATTGTCTACATCATGGATAATGGGGAAGTTACATAAAGCACGCCATAATGTTTCTGTATGAGGCTTGTATGAGTTTTTATTAATCATCTTGTTTCCATATTTTGTCAACTGAGTTGACTATATTCTACTAAAATTGGGAATTGACTTTTATATATATTAGAACTTTTGATCTTACATGGTTAGTTTGTAGCATTCCTTTTAAGTTACATGATGTCAATCTAAATTTAGAATTTTGAAGAACAAGTTTTTTTAATGCAGTTTCTATTATTCAAGTAACATTATCTAATTCTTATTGAGCAAGTTACTTGAATCAAAGCTCTCTGTATTATTCTATAAATAATGTTGATTTTGCAGGCTTGTGACTAAAGGCACTGTTGATGAGAACATATATGAAATTGCCAGGCGGAAGCTGATATTGGATGCTGCTGTTCTGGATTCACGGACAGAATTGGAAAACGGAAATGATCTCCCTCAAAAGACTATGGGAGAGATATTGTCATCCCTTCTTTTAGTGTGAGCTTGGTTGTGCAGAATAGGAGAAGGTAAGCAAAATTTTTGCATCCATCATACTTCCATATACATTCTCAGTTGAACAGTTGAAATTCAAAATTACTTGTGGGTTTACATTCACAAGTACCTCCATGGGCTGCTATGATTCTCTCCGGTCAGCTGTAATTTTGTTTTTATTTTATTTTTTATTTTTTTTTATAAAAGAGTTAATGACAGGAGATACAGATTACAGCCCAATTTTTCTGCAAATCAAGGTTTACAAAATTTTTGTTAACATTGTACGATTAGAATATAAGAAGTTCCCAGAGATATAGGTAAGCATAGCCGATTAGTGCAATGCTGCAAATCTCGACATTCAGTTTCAAAATTAATGAAATCCACATCCATGGTCTTGAGCAATAAATAATTTTTTTTTTCCCTCAAAGTTTTTAAAAGAATCAAAGGTGTTGCATGAGGATCTAAACTTATTGCTTCTCTTTTTTATACTGTGTTAGGCTACCTTTAATGAACTGACAGTTGCATCTGCAGAATTTTTACTGAGGTTCTTTTCATGTATTATGGAATGGATTGGAAAGGGAAAAAAAGCCCCCATTCTACGCCAAACTTACATTGAATTTTTTAACCTACCTCTTGGCATAAATTCATGCCACAATTATTTGGCTGGAAATAGCAAAACTCAGTGCAGGGAAAAAATGATAATGACCTGAAAGACTAGTTTCTCTAAAAGCTTCTGCTTGGTATACAGAATTATTATATTTATAGTAATCTATAAGCAACTTTACAAGCATGCAACATAACTGAAGGTGAGAGTTGGTGACGGAGGAAGATGTTTTGATTTAGGAGTGAGAATCACACATCATTATCATTAACCTTACTCTACTATTTGGTGTTGGCCTTGAGGATTATCATTTTCAATCCATTCTCTATCCTCCAAGTATTTTATGAGATGTTTGCATATTCGTGCAATTTTTCCTTTTATAATCTTCATACATATCTTTGTTGATGCTTTTTATTTATTTTTCACATTAATTTTGTGTATTCATCTTATTATAATCATATCTATGCTGTACATCCTCATATTAAGTGTAATAACGAGCTCTTTAGCTAACTGATTTATTTGTGGGTTCCTTGGGTTAAAGTAAAAGGTATGTTTTTAACCTGTTTTAATGATCTATGATTAAATATTTTTAGTTGTGTGGAATTTGATTTGTAATTGATATTGCATCATTCTTATTTGCAATTTGCATTGTGCTTGATTATCTAGTTCTTGTGTTATGATTTCAACTATTAAAACATTTTAAAAAATAATGAAATGTTTTTTCACTAACATATTTTTATTCTCATTATCGCTTCACTAAAAATATTTCTCAATTTTATTTTTCTTTTGTTTTTGTTAGATTTTTATCTTGAAAATTTCATATTTGCAGTACATTTTGGCTTACTATTAGACTATATAGTTTAATAAAGGACCCATTAAAGAACAATTTGCATTTTTCACTGAGCCGTTGTCAGCTTAGGGAAATCGAGCTGAAAAATGAGAATGAGTATTCGTTAGCGGCCTGGAGAATCCACTCATTCCCTTCCAATCAATGTTTTTTTTTTTGAATAGAAGCATGTGTCTTATGATGAAATATTGTTTGATTCACTTTCCATTCAATGCATTTGATATGATATTGATTTTGATCCTTATTCTTAGAACTGCTAGGTGATTAGTCAACCAGTAGTGTATGTCCGATTCCGGTGTTTAGCAGAATAACAGCACGCTGTAAGATATTTTTTTTTTTTTGGCGATTCAGAGCCCAAACTGAAATTTATGAGGGTGTTTTAAGCGTCAGCATTTGTCTAGTTTGACTTAACACCTAACATGTCACTTCTCTGGCCAAAAACTCTTTTTTTCTTTCAATTTCATTCCTTGCTATTTTGGCCTAACCTACTTCCCTAATGACAAAGACATCTTATTTCTTACTTTGTCACACCTCTTACTAACCATTTCCATTATGTCACGTTATTTATTTAGATCAAAAATTTTCATTAGAGATGTGAATATACAGAGTGAATTTAGATCAAATATACCAGTGATCATATTTATATTAACATGAAAGATTAAATTTATGATTGTCGGTCAATTCTATATTAATTTCACAATGCATTTTTCGTCTATTTTATTAGATTGAACTCCAAGTCTTACAAATCTTAACAATCAACTTTTGTTTTGAAATATTATACATTATATGCTATGCACAAATTTAGGAACGAAGTGCTAAAAGGGTTGCAACTGTTGGGATTGACAACTTGAAGAGGTAAAAACAAACAATATTGGTAAGTAATGAGCAAGTTTGATGCCTGACAGGCATTAAAGGAGCTCAAATGGTGGAGACCTAATTACCAATTTTGTTATTAAAGCTAGCTGGCTTTAGTATAAGCTTGAGCAATTAGGATTTAATGCTTATAAAGGCTAATAATAAACCAGAATAGATAAGTCATGTGTTTCTTGGCTTGTTGGTTAAAAGGAACTTGAATGTTTGTTAGATAATGTTTTGTATTGAATGTAATCTAAATGGATTGTAGCTCAGGAAAATATGAAAGAATTCAATTGCCTCTTCAACCCCTTGTTAAAATTTTTCTATTTCACTTTGGAGTTTGTATATGTTTAAAACATGCCAAATGTTTTTTGGCTATTATTGGAGAATGCATCAACTGGTGCTTTCATTTTGTGAGGATTTGATTTGCTTGATGTAATGAAGGCAATGCAAAAAAAAACTAAGTTTCAATAGATTGAATTTCAGAGGTCTATTCGATATTTGGAAGTCCAATTCGTTGCAATCAACTAATCTTCAAGTCACTTTCAAGAATTTGTTACAAATATGGATGAAAGAATTGATGCTTTCTCTCAAACAAGGCATCCTCTATCCCGTAAGATGATGGGGTGCTGTTAATATCGTATGTCTACTAACATCATCTTCTTGCATTCCTTTATATTTTCTTCCATGAGGTTGATGATGATTAAATTAGCTCAATTTTTTTTTGGCTAAACTGTAAAGAACTAGGTTATTAAAGCTGATGAATATTTTGATTTGTATTGCATCGCTTTATTTTAGGAAGATTTACATATATAATTTACATATCTAACATATAAATTTTAATATTTATATTTATAACACCTTACTTTTGCATGAGTAGACATTTAATTTTCAAGGAGTTTATAGTAATTATAATTTTTATGTGATATTAAAGATTCGAGTGCTATAAATCAAATAATTAACATTTAGGTGTTAGATATATAAATATATAGGAATTGTGTAGTATGTATGTAAATGCTCTTTTATTTTATATGGGGGGAGTAGCAATGACATTATACCAATAGTCTCATACAAAGTAGTGTGAAGTGTCAAAATCTGACAGTTTCATTCAATTCTTATAAGCTTATTTTGGAGTTTCATATTATGAAGGTTTACATGAACATCTATCAATGCTATCTTAAAATGGCTCGGTGATGGAATATTAAGTAACATTTAAAGAATTAGCTTATGCAATATTTGATTTTTTTTTAAATTTTCTTTAGTTATTTTTTTTATTTTACGACTAAAAGATGACTTACCCTTTTGATTATTTTTTGCCAACCCTCTCAAAATATTGGACGGTGTGAAGCTTGCTCGGATGCATGAATATGTTCCAAGATTTGGGTAGGGTAGCTATTGTTCATGGCCACTCTAATTCAACAAATTCAAGCAAGCTTAAAAGGATCATGTAGCAAAATAGCTTCTTTAAATCATTGTCCTTATTTCAATTCCATGACAATCATGAACATCCCATCCCATTTCATGTGAACTACCCTACCAGAAGTTAATTCTTCCTGTGATTTTATGGAGTCGAGAGAGGCTGTTGTGTTTCAATAGCCATGGTATGTTCGAACCTAATTACAAATGCCAAAGTAAATTCTATATGCTATTGGGAATTTATGAGCAATGCTTTGATCTTGATGATGGGGTATAAGAGATTGATAAGATTTTTTTCTAATGCTTTATACATGATTAGTCTCAATGCTTTAGCTGGAGTATTGAATCTATGTTACTTATAACTGATTAATTTGCTTGGTGTCATCATCCTCATGTGTTGATTGATAGTGTTGGTACCTATAATATTATCCAAGAAAGGGAGACAACATGTATGGGTCTTGTGATCTTGCCAAAAAATTTTGAGTACTCATTGGTAATGTTGATTGCTAATATAAATCCTTCTAAAGTTCATTTTTCATTATAAGATTATCATTTTATACTGGATTTATTCACTTTTGCTATCAAAGGTGTTGATAATGTTCCTCGCATACATTGGTTATACTCATTATTGGCATTTCATGATTATGAAGAACTCATACTTAATTTCTCATAGAATAATATCTTCATACAGCTAAGGAAAACAACTTTTTCTTGAACTAATGATTTTTCATAAACTGCAATCCTTAACTCCATTAATTGTTTCGTCGTGTTGCAAGTAATATAAAAGCATGGAGTTCATTTTGATTAAAAAAGTACTTCTTTATTTGCAACCTTTTAGTCATAATTTTCTCCCTTTTTTTTAAAAAAAATCTTTTTAAAGCAATTTAAGAAGTTTTTGCTAGTTCAAAATAGTTGCCACCAAATAGGGTAGTTTATCATTATATTTCATTAGCGGATAGAGCTCAAATATGAATATTTGCTCATATAGATATACAAATTTTCAAAAAGATGCCGTTGAGGAATTTCTGAAGGGATGTGAAATAACATATAATTTGAGGATGATGAACTTCGTTTCCCAATTTATTATGGTAATAAGCGAGGTAATAGTTGGAATTCTTAGGTTCTGAATTTCATAACAATTAATGACGAAGTTTCAAATCCGTTAATTCATGAATTCCTTGATGAGTTACAAGGAGCTTCGTCATTTCTAAGTTGCATTTGAACTTGAGATATCACCAAGTTTGTATGCATATCAAGGAAATTGGCAAAACATTATTTCAAGCTCATGATGACCACTTTGGATTTGTGGTAACACTAATCTATTTGACAAACAAACTTTAAAAACTCATTAATATTTTTAATAAAAGTTTTTAATTGTGTTATTTGCTGGTATCTTGATTTATAATATGCCGATTACTAATCACACAACTTCTTATAATATGAAGGCTGGCTACATTATGTTAAAAACACTTAAACCAGAAGGTCAAATTGGTTTCTCTTTAAAATCTCACTGTTCTTCAACCATGAGGGCATTAACAATACTCTTAACTACCTATTTTCCACAAAGTTTTATAGGCTTAAAATGATAAAGGAGTGTCAATTTTGTTGCATTTTGTCTATTTGTTAGGAAATTAAATAAACAGCTACTAAACCACCGACTTTATTGTTTCTAATGC